TTTTGCTTAAATATTTACCAGTAGACACAATATGCAAAATTTCCTCATGCCTGTCAAAATAAATATTCCCTGACGCGCACATAGACCACAAAATATACAATTATATATATATATATACATAAGTCAGTCGTTGATCTGGGCACAGCCCACACATTCCACGGAGTTTGGGGACATTCTCGACATGCGTCGTTGAATTTCATTTCAGAAATTTGATCAAGTTTCTCAGCTAGGACTTAGAGAACATCTTCCTTCACAGCTCCTACTCCAAGTTGTGCACCCACTTCAAATGCAACAGATCCAAATGATTATGAGGTGTGTAATTAAAATGTTTGCGCTTTTGTCCCCATCACCATCTCACGGTCATGTAATTCAATTATGAAGAATCATTTGTAGCAGATGAGAGCGTCTAATGTCTCTGTCTTATATTATTTTTGGATGGAATAAATGAACTCATCTCTTTCTCTCCTTCTTTCTCTTTCTCTGTTTCGACTTATGGTGGGCCATATATCTATAGCTAAAAATGCACTGGTTAAGTGCCTAGCCTAGAGTAATTGCAAATTTTTCGTAGAAACAATATTGAGACATCAGAATTACACAAATAATTGCATTTAACGACTTTTATTTCAATTTACAATTTAAGAACTTGTTGGCTTTCAGCACCCAACTCAGTTATTCCGACAATTAAGCACACACTGAGAAAAAACTTGGAAAACTTGAAAATAGCAGGCATGATAGTTAGGATTTTATTACTTATTACTGCTTTTCATATTTATAATATTTAGAGAGGTTTTTTGTATTAATAAAAAACGAATTTCAAACCAATAAAAAGACGTATTTAAATTATAAAAGTAAGTAAAAAAAAATATATTTCCAAAAACAAAAAAAACCTTTTCAAATTTGAAGATAATTTTTTTCGTTGGATTTTCTCAATTATATATCAGATATTTTGTCTGAGTGTATTTAAATTGGCATAGGAACTGTGAAATGGTAAGTGTTTTCTCATTTTTTTTATTATTATTATATTTTTGCTGTGACGTCGTCATTGGCAATGGCCGATGGATGCTGTCTGGCTATTCAATTGGGGCCATTGGTCCACATATCACTGATAGATTTCTTTATCGTTGCCAATTTGTGAATTGTTTTGCATCGTTTCTTGATTATTGATTATTGATTCCCTTGTTGCGCTCTTTGTCGGCATCTTTTTGAGGGAAAGCACAAAAGGCACTTGCAATTTGCAGCTGCTGCATGGTGAATATTTAATGTGTGCAAATATTTACAAAACATTCAATTAAAAATTGAAGGTGCGCCTACTTTTGCACAACTAAAGTATCGATCGCATCGATCGAAATATTCGACTGAGTCATATTATGGCCATATTCCTGGAAATTAGTCGTGTGAGAAATTCATGTTTATTTGTTGTGTATGGATTTTTAAATGCTTATGCCCCCGGATTTATTGGGGAACTGAGGACTCATCAATTGTAAAAATAGTAATGGTGAATAAGATAATTATTTTTGTCATTCTTGACCTACACAAAAATGTATAATGCTTAAGTTTTGAATTTGTATTAAGTTAGAATAACGAAAACAATAAATTTACAAGTTTATTTTCGAAATAATTGGGATAAAGCAAACTAGCAGTTTGGGAATCACGACCCTATAATCCATAATATTTATTTATTGAAAGCTATAGACAACAAAAATAAGCTAAACTAGTTAAACTAATATTTACTATCATTCAATAAAATGTAGGAAAAAGTGATGACGAAATTTTATCAATAACGGGGTCGATTTATTAAATTCTAGTCTAGTTCCAGGGTGTTCACAGTCACAGTTACAACTACTCTGAATGATTTGGGGGTTCTCCCAACTGTGAATAGTAGTGATAAATAAATAGACACTAAACAAGAAGCGAGCAGAACTCAATGAGTGCAATTAAAGATGAATGAATGAAATGAAATTCAATGCAGATTTAATGAATGAATTTACAAAGCGACAACAACTAAAACAACAAAATCAACAACAACAATGACGACAAACTATTTATAAAAATTCCACGATACGGGCCAAAGAGACTGACTGACAGACAGACAGACAAGGGGGGATGGACGAGGGTTGGACGAGTAGTAGAGACGAGTATATATATTTATATATATACATATATACATATATATATATATATATATATATATGTATCTCTGACTGACTGCATGCGATGCGAGAGAGTTTTGTGTTTTAATTGCGCCATTTCCCATATCAGCGCTGTGATTATTTGTTCTAGTCAACATAAATAAAAACAAACAAACAAAAAAAATATGTATAGAAAAAGGCTGGACATGGTTGGTATTGTAGTCTAGTCAGTGGTGTGGGGCATGCAACGCCGGCAATTGGTGCTACATGCCACAAATCTGACTAATTAGATGGTTAGCTCGACATTTGATTTGTTATTTATTATCATACGCTGCTGTCCTTTGAATATTACGTATTATTATTATTATTATTGTTGTGTTGCTTCGAGTCGTTCACAAATTAATGGATGACCTCGTCAGTGAGTCAGAATTGAACGCAGTTGCGTCTGGGTCTGCGTCTGGAGCTGGTATCTATTGGATAAGTGATGCAGTGTCTACACTCAACAAAAAATATTGCTCGTAAATTCAGAAAATTGTTCAAATATGAAAATCGCCCTGAATGCTAGAAAGCATTTCTGGTTTTAGTAAATAATTTTGGAATTTACGAAACATTTTCCATTCATTATTATATCCCTCAGAAATGATTTCTATTATTAAGAAATACATTTCTAAGAAGTTGAGAAAAAATACTTTCTAAATTTCAAGTAATGAAATTTAAATTTAAATAATTTCTAAATATAGGAAACAGTTTCTATTTATATTTCTATTTGCCAGAAATATTTTCTATTTTTAAGAAACTTATTTATAATATTTTAAGTAAATTTTTTCTAAGTGTTGCTTCTTTAGTATCTCTGGCAGCTTTTTTCCCAGGCAGTCCCAAAACAACTGGCGTCTCAGTTGATTACGCATCATTTGCAGCGCTGGGAAACTGCCGCACTTTCCAGTGGCAAGTTGCAGTTGCTGTGGCAGTGGCACTTTTTTCTAGGTGACGCTGGGGCGTCTCCGCCAGGAGGGCGTGCCTAATACACAATCTTGGCATGTTTTAAGTACGCCCATTGCTCCTTCTGTGTGTTTGTTTGTTTGCTTTTGTTGCCATTTCAATTCGAATTACATTTCAGTGGGTTGATCAGACTAATCGATGGCGTGGCTACTCAACAGGAGAAGGTTAAGGGATATGGGTAAGGGGAAGGGGAAGGAGATGGGTACGGTTATTGGTAAGTGTAAGAGTATCCATAGCCATAGTACACGCACAAAAAAAATGTATTTGAATTTTAGAAAATCCAACTAAACAGAAAATTGCCATAAAAACTATAAGTTTTTTCTTGTGTTTTAAAATAATTTCTAAATATAAAAATAATTCAAAATAATTAGAAATCGACAATACCAAAAAAATTTTTTTTTTTTTTAAATATTTTCTATAATTAAAAAATTCATTTCTAATAATTATGTTTATGTGAATCTAAAAATACGAATGTTTATCAATAATATAAGCAACAAAGATATAATTTTGCACATTCAGAAAAACACCCTGAAAATTAAACATATTTTTTCAATATTTTAAAAATCCTAAAATGAAGAGAGGAAAAACCCCGACTTTTAGAACTTTCTAATTAAGTTAAGTCACCTTTGGCGAATTTCAAAAATGCAGGACAACTTTTTTTTCTGAGTGTACGAGTCCAAGATAAATGCGTTGGCGTTCTGGGAAATTGCTAATGTGCATTCATGTGGCATGTTGCATGTTGCATGTTGCATGCTGCATATTGTCGTGCACTTTCCACTAGCTGTTGTCCATGGGTTAAACACTCATTAGCGCTGCGCGTCGCAGAGAAAGGCCTCGATTCGGTGTCAAATTCAAGTCGAGGCGTGAACGGGGAATGTGTCATGTTTGTGCCATGTTTAGGGCATGCCTCAGTGCAGCAACACTTAGGTAAGCACTGGAAAAGTGGGTAAGTAAAGTGCTGCCATATGCAATAATACAGGTGCTACAAATTAAGCAATTTTTTATTTTTTTATTTTATTTAGGTTTTCTGAATATGTGAGAATATCTGAGTGGACTATAGCATGAAGAAGGAAGCAAGTGCGAAACCATAATGAATATATATTCTTGATCAGCATCAATAATAGAGTCGATCTAATCAAGTTTATTTCATTTTATTGATAACCGTTCCAGTTTCGCGAATATCAATACAAATCGATTTACGTTAGCCATAAAAAACACAATTATAAAGATATAATCTGCCAATTGATAAGGAATATTCCCTGAAATATTATTGAACAACTGCAACAAATTTCAATATCATAGTTTTCGTATGGTTCTTCTGTGCAAGTTGGAAAAGGTGTGATTCCAAGTGAATTAAAAAAGTGGTCTTAAAGTTAAACAAGGTGTTTGCTTGAAATTAAATTAATTATGAGGGGGATTTAAGGTTGAGGTCTCTGCGTAACCTTCACATTAAAATGTTATAATTTAACATATTATAATTTGGGTTCTTACTCATAAGTTTCTTTTTTGCGTTGAATTTTTGTTTAACTCCTTGTGTTAATGCGGGGTTTTGCAAGTCTTCTATGAATTTAAAATTTTGTTAGAAGACATCACCAAGTCGAACTATCACGACGAGGGAATTCTTAATTATTATAAACAAATTTATCAGGATATCTCTATATATATTAATAATACTTAATACGAATCTTATGGATTCTTTTTCCATAACCCAAGAGTTGCTTGTCATTCAGAAATATTTATGAATATATGGATTCAACTTGTGTACCTTACAGATACCATTACAAACTAATAAAAAAAAACAATTTTATTATTTTGAGTTTACGATTATGTTGTGCTTGTTAAATTATGGTTGATTAATTGCTCAGTACTTACCCAAAGACATGATGATAATTGCCTTGAAACTCTTGCACAATATATTTGGATTGTTCAGTTTTCAGCTACTGTTGTTGTCATTTGGGGGAAGGGTTGTGCAGGTGAACAGGGGGGGGGGGGGGGGGTATAGAGAGCTCCACTGAGTTTATTTCAAGGGGCTTTGCACTTGTTCTGGCCCGTTAAGGTGCTTCCGGCGGATATGGCCAGTCAAAGTTTTTTTTTCTTTTTTTGGACACACAAACCTGCGCAACATAGAAAATAGGAAAGCATAGCAATTATTAAAAATAATATATATATATTTAAATTATTTATGCGCATGGTTAAACAATGGTAAACCATAAATAAAAGTGGCTAGAGAAAAATTAAAACTAAAGTGGCAGCCGTGGCAAAGTGGCAGGTGAGTCTAACGGTAACCGTTGCATACAAAATAGAAAAAAAAAAAAACTCGACAACATTTCCAACGGAAGCAAAACGTAAAGCTTTTTCTCCCTCAGCCGATTTTCACGGATATTGTGGCCGGAAGCGTTGCAGCGAGGGAAAATGAATAAATACGATGCCCAAAATGATTTTTAATAAGCACATGTGGCCTGAAGTTTGTTTAGTCAACATCATTTGAAGAACTTCAACTGCAGCAACAACAATAAAAACCACTAGAAAAACCACAACAAGCCCCAGGCCCAGTTTAAACGATGTCTACACTTGCCGCCGTAACCGCAATTAGTACACACAATTTAATAAGTACAAAAGACATAAAAAAAACTAATTTTTTATGGCCCAAGGGATTTTTATTTTCTGTAGTTGGCGCCACAGCTTTGAATATTTTTATTTTTATTGGCATATTTCTTTTATATATACATCATTTTTTTATGAGTCAATTAATATGCACGGCACACAAGAACAAACCGCAATTCCGATTCGGATTCGGAGTTGAATTCGAATTCTTATTTGTTCGCGGGTCGATTTTGCAATCGTTTGGCATTCGTATATCAACACTTGTCAATTCACTTGAAATCGTTATATCGGTAGCTTTGAAGAACTATAGATAGATACTTATATATATAAATGGACTTGCATTTCTGCTGTTGAAATAGTAGAATTGATTTGATGTACTAAAGAATCTGTTGTGGTATTTTTATCGTTTTGCCAGAAAGTGTGTTAAGCATTAAAGGATATATTTGTGAGCTCGTAAAATACATATAAATACATATTCTAAATCAGCATCAGTAACGAAGTAGATAGAGGAATTTATCCATATCCATTCTTCTAGTTTACTATTTGAACTAAGTCATTATTTTAGGTGGCGTATTTATCAATTCTCTTGAGATTGCTTTACCGGTAGCGTTGACGAATTATATATATATAAATACATATGTATTTATTTATAGGCGACTTGCATTTCTGCTGACTTTTGATGAAATGGTAGATTAATTTAATGTATCAACATTTATTTTATGGAATTCTTTATGCTTTTGCCAAAAAGTGTGTTATGCATTAAAGAAGACTGTACTTATATCCATCTCTGTTATACTATGAGCATTATCTTCGTTTTATTATTATGTTATATTATTATTATCTTAATATATTATTATATTAATAATAAAATGTACTCATTTTGATATGCCGAAATCTGGCAAAACGGAATGATACACTATATATCTGCTATGAGTTAAAGAAGAGTTCTTCTATACAAACAACTTTTTTATTTCCTAAGAAGCTTAATCGCTCTACGTCCTTTAAATTAATATATACATTTTAAAATGAGAAGATTTTTTAGGGTAGATAAACTTCGGCGATCCTTAAATAATCATTTTTTATTAATATTCTTTTTAGATGTTTTTTTAGCTGCTTGCTTACTGACACATTTTGTAAATTTAAATGAACAATGATTGATTTATTTGCCTCTAGTAAATAAATTGAATATTTGCGCAACAATTTTTTCAGATATTTTTTGATTACTTTACAGTTTAAAAACTGATCAAAAGCCATGAAAAATAGAGAAACAGTTTTTACAGAATTTATGCTGCATTAATTGTTTACACTGCTGTCTGAGTGTGGTGTGTAACCCAATTTCGACAAAAAATAAAAGTGTTTATAGAATTACAAAGAATTCTTTAAGTTGTGGCTACATTTTCAACTTAATGTTTACATTTAAGATATCTAAATTTGGAAAAGAATTTCTAAATTGTTTTATATCAACGCTGAACATTCAGTGAATGACATTGAAAGTGTTTGAGAAATGTTTTTGTGATATGCAACAAAAAATTATGAAGTAAATAAGTCATTAAAAGGCGCTCATCAAAATATATATGTATATAAGCTCTTAAATGTTTCGACCCTCACTCATCTCTCTCTCTCTTTCTGTTTGTCTGTCTCTCTCTCTCTCTCTCTCTGGCTCGCTGTTTCTCCCTTTCTCTGAGTGTAGTTGGAGAAAAGCAATTAAGTCGAGCGATTTAGCGAGGCAGCCGGCACGGAGCTCGTTTAAGACGATTATTTCATTTAAGACGTTGACATTCATTTGCATATCAATGCGGCTGGTTAGGGTATCTCTAGGGTATATGCGAGTCTATGCCCTGAATTGTATGGACTACTCGAAGTGTTACCTTAATAATATATCTTATTTTTTACACTCAAGAAAATCGCGTTTTAAGTCTTTTTTCTTTCGCCAAAATGTATCCAATCTTCGAGTAATCTACATATCTATGTCGATTTTTATATCTATATCTCTGTTCCTATTTTTACATCTATATTTATAGCTATATCTATTTCCATATCTCTATATACTCAACGTCTATATTTATGTTTACATCTTAATCAATATTTGTATTTACTTCTACATCTATATTTATATCTACATCTTATTTAATTTGGTTTTTAATCTAAAATAATCGTTTTCTCAAAAAAATTCCATTCAATTGGTTTAAAACAAAAATCCCGCATTGCGTTGCTATTCGATTAAAAATTTTATGTTAATTTTTAAAGCCTAACTTTCAGTCTGTCTTCCACTCAAAATTTTTGAATATATTTTAATTAGAAACCAAAAATTAACCCTCCTTCATATTTGATCTGAGAGCGTCCACTGCACTGCGGTAGAAAACAGATTGGAGACCCACAGAAATCTAATAAATCAATTTGAATAAATAAATAAATTTAAAGTTAAGTTTTATTTATAATTTCATTTAATCTATTTTTAACTTTTTGTATTATATTCCGTCGACTAACTTGAGTTGACATTAAATAAGAACATAAATAAATAAAAATAAGGGGTGTCATTTCCTGAAGGAAGGTTCAGATTAGATCTAAACTGATCTAGCTTTATGCCCAGACTCATTAGCATTTTAGCCCGTTATTTTTTTGGGCTATGAAAGTGTTAAATTTTAAGCAATGTAAAGCTTGACAAGTTATTTATTTTATTTTTATATATTTGATTGTGGTACAGCCATTTACATTTTTTCTTTTTAGTCTTTATTTGCTTTATGAATTTCGCTCAGTGTTTTTTCGTGTTGTTGTGAGTGTGTTTGTTTTTTTTTTCGGTTTGATTGCTACGATTTTCATTACGGTTTACCGGAAATTCCAATTTAGGTAAATGCGCCGTTGACTGCAACTACAGCAACAACATCAGCAACAGGCACAGCAGCCGGCATGAAACGGGATTAATGTATGTAAATATACATATATATATATATATATATATATATATATATATATATATATATATATATATATATCCCTGGGGACAGCGACAAGATCAAGTGGAGCATGCAGGCCTTGCATACAATTGGCATGTGTCGGGGGAATGGGGGGAAGACTTCAGTTGTTTGGTGGCTTGCCCAAAAAAAAGACAAAAAACAACAATAAAGAAAAAGACCAAAAACTAAAAGGCTGATTGATTTTAAACTCTTCAGAGAATATAACAAGAAATGTCTAGAACACCTGAGTAGCATCAGAAAAATGTTTGACTAAGCTTTTTTATGGCAATTGTCCATAAATTTAATCTTAGTAGTAAGTAAACAATTCCAAACAAAAACAAGTGAGAGAGAAAGAAAGTTCGAATAGATGATACCCTTTGAACAAGAACTCAGCGGTCTTGAAAACTCCAATCGGCAATCGATTTTTATCGATGAAATTAAAAATAACTCGATTTGTTTGCTTAAAACTTGGCAAATAAGGACTAACAGAAATAAGGATAAATGGACAAACCACGACGTGATTGTTGATGCTGATTAAATAAATATGTAAGAAATCCAAATATATATAATATATACGCCTTCTTCTGCCTGAGTACAGAAATATTATAAATATAAGTTAAGGTCGCTAATAACTCAAGTCAGCTTAAATAAGAAATTCGCATACAATTCACACAACAAATGAGCTGGCAAAATATGACTTACTTTTTAGCCAAATTTTATTTATTTATTTTTAGGCATGCTTCAAGTTGGATTTCTCTTCTATATATTTTCTTAGTGTTTACATAAAGTGTCGAAAGCAATGAGAATGGGATTTGCAGACACTCAAATATATATATTAAAGAATTATGTACATTTATTTTTAAGATAGTTGAACAAGAGCCGAAGTTTAAATTAAAACGAATAAATACTATTTGATAGCTCTGAAGTACTTGAATTGTTTTATAATTTATTTTCATAGAACCTACCAAGTTTATAAATATATTTTATAAAATTATCTTTGTGCATAGGCATAAAATATTTTAAAAATTTGTATGCTTGTCTTGTATATTCACTTATAATTTTTAGAGCTATCAAAGAGTATTTATTCTTTGGTATTTGTTAAACAATCTTTTATTGTTCGTGCCGAAATTGGTTCATTTTATGGCACACATAATAAGAAACAATACAACAAAATTATCGATTGATCCGTGTGGTCTCGGGCCATATATGTATGTCTAAATGTATGTATGTAAATATATGTACATATGCATATACTCGTATGTCTCATTTATTGGCTTATGGCAAACATTTTCGGGAATCGGCACGTAAAAATTGCATACAATTTGCACTTGAAAACGTCCAAAATGCAATCGAAGCGTTTTACGTGAAAATTTATTTTAAATTTATTGATGCGATTTACAAGATCGTTTTGCTGCACAGAACAATACACACACACACACACACACACACACACACACACACACACACACACACACACACACACACACTTACACACAACACAATTGTTTGGCAATTGAGCGCGAAAACAAATCAAATAAATCAATTGAAGCGTTTTT